CCAATTGCGCTTTCTTCATTACTCTAGGGTTTTTCAGAAGCTCTGACATTGCCCATTCCATTGCTGTTGCTGAAGTCTCACTTCCTGCTGAAAATATATCCTGAAATCATTGTGAAGTTGCAATGAATTATATGCTTGTACAATAATATTAGGTTTTCTTAGTATATATTAAAAAGTAACTTTAGGGCTTTTGTATTGTTAGAGCATCCACAGTGGGGGGGGTGTATATGGGGGTGTATGTTAAATATACACCCTGAGTCACCGGAATCGTCTCCAATGGTGAGATGTAAATGAATGTAAATATACATCACCACCATGGGGATGTAAAATAAAATGTATATTTACATCCATTTTTACATCCCTTGCAGGCGGGACCCACCCGAGAAAAGAGAAGAAAAATGAAGAAAAGTCAACATAAAAGGCTAGGACCCACGGCTACACCCCTAAATTTACACCCCCCCACTGGAGCAAAAAACATATTTACACCCCCCGGAGGTGTAAAGGGGATGTAAAAGTGGCTTTACACTCCCGAATTTACACCCCCCCACTGTGGATGCTCTTAGGGTTTTATTTGTATTGTTATGGTTTGGTTTTTTTAAGCTTTATCTAATTTTTATTTTTTTGGTTCTGAGTTTGCACTCTTAGTTGGGATGCCTATACAAGATCCACCCCTAGACTGCCGCCAACAAGGTCATCAGCAACCACGTTTACCCAAGCCCACCACCACAGATATGGAATGATTTTTTGTTTTTGTTTCTGTTGCTGGAGTATTTTAATTTTTAATTTTTAATTATTTTTAAATTACAAAATGACCATTTTGCCCTCATTTTTAACGGCAAATTGGATGAAATATTGTGGATTTAGACGGAGGGGGGAAATTGGCGAAAAACAAAAGTTCATATCCTTAATTTTCTGAAAAAAAGGATAGGGGGTTAATTGAAAATTAGGTAGAAGTTTAGGGTGCAAATCACTAGTATAGGTACAAGCCCACTACCCAATAAAAACAATTAGTGCTGGAGTGCAGAGATGGTACCATAGTGATGTCTTTGATTTGATCGATTGTCAAATGAAACTCATGCTTATTATCCTCCTCATAATTCAGAAGCGTGTCAACCAGATCTTCCTCATCTTCACCAAGCCTACCAAAGCCTTTTCTAGTAGCTTCTCTTTTCATCTTATGCTCCAGCACAATATCTTGAAGAATCTCGTCAAATTTTTTCTGCATTTTCATCAATGCAGACTTCATCCCACTCATGGAACGAAGAAATGTAAGAGAAGGGTACAAGTCAACGATGTTAAAGCCTCCAACAACAAGTACAATTTCCCCAAGCAATAATGTAAACTCATGTTGGTATTTGCACTTGTTACCAAATGCTGCCCTAGAAATCACATCATTTGTCATGGTGTATATCTTGTCACTCAAATTTATGGTATGTCCCTCAGAGGCAGCGATGAACTCAACAAGATTCCACACCTCCTCTTCCCTTATCGATCTAAACGATCGAACACGTTTAGCGCTTAAGAGCTCCATCACGGCTATCTTTCGCAGTTGTCTCCAGTATTCATTGTAAGGAGCAAACACGATGTTTGAAAGATCATATGACATTATTTCAACTGCATACATTTTCGGCCTTTGCGCGAAGATGATCTCGCTCGTCTTCAAGACCTCTTTGGCTGCTTCCGGTGATGAAATGATCACAGCAAAAATTTCCCCCAGTTGCAGTTTCATGACAGGACCATGTTTGTTGCACAAGTCAGTGATAGCATGATGTGGTAGGGCACCAATCAACTGGTGCAAGTTCCCTATAATAGGCAGCTGCTTTGGCCCAGGAGGCAACTTGCTCAGGCCTTTGGCTTGAGATTTCTTCCAATATTTGAAAAGCATCAATAAGAAGAAAAGAGAAGCTAAGAAGACAAAAAAGGATGGCAATTGAAGCATCTCGGATACGGAAGAATCCATTGACAAATTTGTGCTCAAGTTTTGTTTGGTAAAGAACTGCATTTCTTGTGTGGATGCTTAGATGTGTGCTCATGGTTCTATATATATAGCCGTTTGGGATATAAATTAATTACAAGTAGGTAGATTGCAGCTGGTCTTGAGCTCCTAATCCTTGAGCCCCTAATCCTGGAGACTGCAGTAGCCTCCCAAAGTCAAGCCAACCACATTAATGTAGCCAACCTCATTAATGCAGCCAACTTACAACTGGTCTAGATAACACTTTCTTCTTTTGCTATAACCAATTTCTCTTCCTCCTTTCTCAACTCCCTCCGCCATTCTCCACCTCACACCCACCACCACTTAGCAACTATATCAACTATAGCAATTGAAGGAGATAGTGGCTGCTTTGAAAATGAAGTACAAAAGTGTGAAACCAACCCGTTCTTGTTTCTATGGTTGGAGGGCTTTGCTGGTGTTATGTACTTTTACTTATGGTTTTCTTTGGCTTTGGCTTTGGCTTTAGTTGCTATCGCCTGGTGGTTCTGTTTTGTATTTATGCAGGATCATTTATTCCTGTCTTATTTCCTCCTTTGGCCTTTCTGGGGCTTTTCTAATGAAGTATTTTTCTATAAACTTAATAAATAAATTTTAAAAAACCAAGAATTTAGTATCTTTCTATTATGATTGTTAAATCTAATTGCTATTTCACAATGAACATTTGAGTGCTTTTTTTTTTTATAGTCAAATTTGATTGCATTATACCCAAAACAGGGTTCTTACACTCGCAGCAAAAAAAGCTGTCCGATAACAAAAGAAGAATTAAAGGCATGTCACAGTATAGCAAAAGAAGAAAGTGTTAGCTAGACCAGTTGTAGGTTGGCTGCATTAATGAGGTTGGCTACATTAATGTGGCTGGCTTGACTTTGGGAGGCTACTGCAGTCACTAGGATTAGGGGCTCAAGGATTAGGAGCTCAAGAACAGCTACAATCTACCTAATTGTAATTAATATTGAGCTTGGTTAGCAATCTACCTACTTGTAATTAAAGAAATTGCTTACAGAACTTTGATATGCACCTACGTCAGAAATGCACTTGCATTGTTACAACAAGGCGGCAATATCCATTGCACACAATCCAATTCAACACAATCGCACTAAACATGTTGAAGTGGATCAACATTTCATTAAGCAGAAACTTGAAGCCAAAGAAATTCGGCTCCCATTTGCCAAGTTAGAAGACTAGTTGGCTGATATATTAACAAAGGCAGTTTCTAGCAAAGTATTCAACAACTCATTGGTCAAGTTGGCCATTGACAATATCTACGCACCAACTTGAGGGAAAGTGTTAGCTAGACCAGTTGTAGATTGGTTGCATGAAAGAAGTTGGCTGCATTAATGTGGTTGGCTTGACTTTGGGAGGCTGCTGCAATCTCCAAGATTAGGGGCTCAAGGATTAGGAGCTCAAGACCAGCTGCAATCTACCTACTTGTAATTAATATTGAGCTTGGTTAGCAAGCCTGCTTCTTGCACAAATTCCTGTTGTAAGTGATACAAAGCAATCAAGTTTAAGAAACCAGAAAATAAATTCTGTGATTCTCTCCATCCTCTCCATAATTTTCAGATTTTAACATAAAGTTCACAAAATATTGGCCAAACAACCAGAAACTATTAAACTACATTATAAAGTAAAGGCCAACTTCAGTTCACAAAATATTGGCCAAACAACCAGAAACTATTAAACTACATTATAAAGTAAAGGCCAACTTCAGTTCACAAAATATTGGCCGACAACCAAAATAAGCAATTTCAGTTGACTAGGAATTTTTCCTGTTTGTTGCTTTTTTTGGTGGGTTTCATCGGGCACTTGAACCTCCCATTTGCCTCGATAGTGGAGGCCTAATGCTAACTCCCATATGCCTTGGGTTCACAGAACTTGCACCTCCCATTTGCAAATTAAGAGTTGGTCTTGAATTCATTGATCTTGCACCCCAATTTGTCTTTGATTCACAGAACTTGAATTTCCAATTTGCTTATTAGGAATAGGCCTTGCAGTGGGTATAAGAGGAGTTGGTCTTGAAGTGGCAGCATCATTATCACTTTCATATATTTCTTTATCTTTATCTGATTCATCACCACTGTCTTGAACATCTCTTACTCTCCTCCTACCATCAGCGTCAAAGTCTTCTTCACAAACATTTTTTTTTCTTCCAAAAATACAAACATTAATTCAATTATATTAATATTTGGGAGGAGTTAGCTCATGATTGCTTAGTTCTGAGCAACCAAATATTTAGCACTTTGAAACTGGAAATACAGTGAAGGAATCTATGGTGAAAAAATAATAAGATACCCAGTTGACTTTGTCCTAAAAAATGTTGACTTTGTAAATTTTACAAGTATAATGATCCCATTTCAGAAGTCACCAGTGAGCATATTCTCTTTCAAATGTCAATTTCACCAACAGCTATTACAAATAAATAAATATATCATTCTGAAATTATTTCACTAAAAGACAAAGGAACTCAAATCAAGGGGCCAAAATAAGTTGCAACACTTCAGCCAAAAAGCTTATGCACTAGAAGAATTTCAAGTACCTAGAAAGAAATAAGGTTTCCCTTGCTATTCTTAGTCCTTCATATTTCAAACTGTAACACTACAAACAATCAATTCAACATGAGTGATGAAAATTTAACATCCAAATTCTTTGGTACATCCATTTTCTTTCAGCTCCAGAGGCATGCATTTTGTGGACAAATGTTTCAGCTCAAAAGTAGTGCAGATATACAGATGTTAGCTCCAAATGCAGAGCTTAGACATCAAGAGATTGAAGATTATAGAAATATGCTTCTTGTTGTCTAAAATTGACCAACAATTAAATATATTTCTTCTATTCCTAGGAGAAGAAGAAAAGCGGCCACATGTTGGAAAACCTTTTGCCGATGAAAGGAACACTTTACCAAATCTATCTATGGATGTTAATCTCAAAGAAAGCAGACAGGAGCTTCGAAGGATTTATTTTTGGCGAATGAGCTTCCAAGTATTTAATAGTAAGAGATTTACAACTCAATGACCATCACTTGGACAGAGTTGTGAAACAAGCTTTACAACTCCCCACATGGGTGCATCATTCTGCAAGAAGCCATGCAACAAGTTAAGTATCGTCATCTAGTTCTATCCTAGTAATACTCACATTTTATTCCCACGTCTTCAAATTTTTTCAAACACTCTTGCTATATTTCTCTTCTTTAGATAATTCATTATCACAATATAGTAAGTAGGAAATCCTGTCAGCTTTGGCCAAAGACAATGAATCGTTCAGGGTTTGAATGCTGAACAGGTCAACTATCCAAGGACAAAGATAATCTAACAACGCCAAATAGATAAACATACATGCATAGCTGCATAGCAACCTCATTAATCCTTTGGAAACCAAAAATAGTCAAAGCAACCACACAACCTTTCAAGGCATTCAACTCACCAGGTAAACAACGTCAAAGGCTTTGCGGTAGCTATCAAGAGAATTCTCAACATTGTCATTCCTGGAACAGCAGTTAACATGGTTCAGCAACTAAATCAATTTATGGATCATCATAACTCTTTGTCTGGCTAGTTTATCAGATTTGAAAAATAAACTAAGGGGATGTGCAAATGTAACTTCTTTGTTCATTATCGTTCCATTAAAATAAAACAATTAACTTTAACTTCTTGGGCACTTAATGAACAAATTCAGCTGCCTCTAATTGTTGGTTGCAATGTAACAATATTATAAGTTCTAAAAGTAAAATAGAGGTGGCACTTAGTTTGGCCAAAATGGCTATCATCCGGCTTACTTTTTCACAGAACTAAAAACTGCATTCTGCAGGCAATGCAGAACATAACTAAGATAATAATGACCCATCATGAAGTAAAATAAAAGAGAAAGCTAACTACCATCTAGCAGACAAAACAAAACAGAATAATCGAACAAAACAAATAAAAAAACAAAGTAAATTCCCAAGCTAACAAGAACCGCAAGCCACATTGGCAACTGGCCCCACTTAATCTTGGAAAGCCAGCTAGATGTTCTTGCATCATCAAACCAAATGAACTAAGGCACCTTCTATAGTGCACCAGGTGCACCCATGCACCATTTGTCCTTTATGATGCTCCCATATTTTTTTAAAAATTGGTTACCGGTTATACAAGTTATCAAGTTTCCACATTTTGAAAATGCAATTGCATAAGGGTCATGCAATTATGCCTATTAAGGATGGGTTTTACAATGCTCTAGAACATAACTATCCATAAATGAGTAATACAAGACCTTAGTATTGTAAACATTCGAGTTTACAAGTATAAGGACCCAATTTACCATCTGAATGTTCCCATTTACCCTAATATTGTACTGCATGTCTTTATCTTTGTAAATTACGATATTACAATATTAAGGATGCATTTTACAATCATATGGAACATAACTGTCCAAAACCGAGTAAAACAAGACCTTAATATAGTAAAAGTTTGTGTTTACACGTATAAGGACTCAATTTACTTTCCTAATGTCCCTAGTTACCTTAATATTGTACTATACGTGCTTTTCTTTGTAAATTACGATGTTACAAGATTAGATGTTACAAGATTAAGGATGGGTTTTACAATGCTCTAGAACATAACTATCCATAAATGAGTAATACAAGACCTTAGTATTGTAAACATCCGAGTTTACTAGTATAAGGACCCAATTTACCATCCGAATGTTTCCATTTACCCTAATATTGTACTACATGTCTTTATCTTTGTAAATTTCGATATTACAAGATTAAGGATGCATTTTACAATCACATAGAACATAACTGTCCAAAATCGAGTAAAACAAGACCTTAATATAGTAAACGTTTGTGTTTACACGTATAAGGACTTAATTTACTTTCCTAATGCCCCTAGTTACCTTAATATTGTACTAGACGTCCTTCTCTTTGTAAATTACGATGTTACAAGATTAAGGATGGGTTTTACAATGTTCTGGAACATAGCTATCCATAAAAGAGTAATACAAGACCTTAGTATTGTAAACATCCGAGTTTACAAGTATAAGGACCCAATTTACCATCCGAATGTTCCCATTTACCCTAACATTGTACTACATGTCTTTATCTTTGTAAATTTCGATATTACAAGATTAAGAATGGGGTTTACAATGTTCTGGAACATAGCTATCCATAAAAGAGTAATACAAGACCTTAGTATTGTAAACATCCGAGTTTACAAGTATAAGGACCCAATTTACCATCCGAATGTTCCCATTTACCCTAACATTGTACTACATGTCTTTATCTTTGTAAATTTCGATATTACAAGATTAAGAATGGGGTTTACAATGTTCTGGAACATAGCTATCCATAAAAGAGTAATACAAGACCTTAGTATTGTAAACATCCGAGTTTACAAGTATAAGGACCCAATTTACCATCCGAATGTTCCCATTTACCCTAACATTGTACTACATGTCTTTATCTTTGTAAATTTCGATATTACAAGATTAAGAATGGGGTTTACAATGTTCTGGAACATAGCTATCCATAAAAGAGTAATACAAGACCTTAGTATTGTAAACATCCGAGTTTACAAGTATAAGGACCCAATTTACCATCCGAATGTTCCCATTTACCCTAACATTGTACTACATGTCTTTATCTTTGTAAATTTCGATATTACAAGATTAAGAATGGGGTTTACAATGTTCTGGAACATAGCTATCCATAAAAGAGTAATACAAGACCTTAGTATTGTAAACATCCGAGTTTACAAGTATAAGGACCCAATTTACCATCCGAATGTTCCCATTTACCCTAACATTGTACTACATGTCTTTATCTTTGTAAATTTCGATATTACAAGATTAAGAATGGGGTTTACAATGTTCTGGAACATAGCTATCCATAAAAGAGTAATACAAGACCTTAGTATTGTAAACATCCGAGTTTACAAGTATAAGGACCCAATTTACCATCCGAATGTTCCCATTTACCCTAACATTGTACTACATGTCTTTATCTTTGTAAATTTCGATATTACAAGATTAAGGAGGCATTTTACAATCACATAGAACATAACTGTCCAAAACCGAGTAAAACAAGACCTTAATATAGTAAAAGTTTGTGTTTGCACGTATAAGGACTCAATTTACTTTCCTAATGCCCCTAGTTACCTTAATATTGTACTAGACGTCCTTCTCTTTGTAAATTACGATATTACAAGATTAAGGATGGGTTTTATAATGTTCTGGAACATAACTATCCATAAAAGAGTATTACAAGACCTTAGTATTGTAAACATCCAAGTTTACAAGTATAAGGACCCAATTTACCATCCGAATATTCTCATTTACCCTAATATTGTACTACATGTCTTTATCTTTGTAAATTTCGATATTACAAGATTAAGGATGGGTTTTACAATGTTCTGGAACATAACTATCCATAAAAGAGTTATACAAGACCTTAGTATTGTAAACATCCGAGTTTCCAAGACCTTAGTATAAGGACCCAATTTACCATCCGAATATTCTCATTTACCCTAATATTGTACTACATGTCTTTATCTTTGTAAATTTCGATATTACAAGATTAAGGATGGGTTTTACAATGTTCTGGAACATAACTATCCATAAAAGAGTTATACAAGACCTTAGTATTGTAAACATCCGAGTTTCCAAGACCTTAGTATAAGGACCCAATTTACCATCCGAATGTTTCCATTTACCCTAATATTGTACTACATGTCTTTATCTTTGTAAATTACGATATTACAAGATTAAGGATGCATTTTACAATCATATGGAACATAACTGTCCTAAACAGAGTAATACAATACCTTAATAATGTAAAAATTTGTGTTTACACGTATAAGGACCCAATTTACTTTCCTAATATCCCTAGTTACCTTAATATTGTACTAGATGTCTTTATCCTTGTAAATTACGATATTACAAGATTACGGATAGGTTTTACAATTCTATGGAACATAGCTGTTCAAAACAGAGTAATATGAGACCTTAATATTGTAAACATCCGTGTTTACAAGTATAATGACCTAATTTAACTACCGAATGTTCCACTTTACCTTAATATTGTACTACATGACCTTTTTTTGTAAATTACGATATTACACGATTAAGAATTGATTTTATAATATAATGGAACACAAATGTCCAACAGTGTAATACAAGTCCTTCCTATTGTAATATCGTAAATGGGAAGTGAAATCCCGTGGAAAACGAAGCCAAATGTTAAGAAAATAGGCATGTGTTGCATTCCTAAAAGGACACAAATTAATGTGCAAACAACCAATTAAAAATACCCGCAAGTGCACGAATCTAATGAAGTATAGATTATGTAAGTACGGGGTCGATCCCACGAAGAACTTGTCGGCTTCCTATAAGTTCTAATTTGAGTACGTAAAGAACACTTGTTGAAAATTTGGATTGTCGGTCCACCAGAAGTTTGAATGATTTCTCCACTCCGGATTGTATGTTTGTCGGAAATATTCATTCATAGGCAATTCATTATGAAATGAGCCAAAAACATTTGCTTCTTCCATCACAAATTTATTGGAGTATTCTTACATAGTAAGTTCCACAATTTCAGTTGCGGCTGC